GCTTTCTGTTTTTGTCCATTTTTAATGTGTGTCAAAATCAGCAGTATTCAGTGATTACTGACTGTGTTGGAGAAACTGACCTGATGGTTGAATCTGTTTGTTTGTACCAAACAGAATCACCGGCCTCTCTGTGTAGACTTAGTGAGGTAACAGTTTCTCACCACTCAAAACTTGAGTGAGGAGTTACTGTTGGGTTTATTCTTTAAAATGGCTTTTATATTCACTGACTGAGATCAGTCTAAACCCATCACTGTTCACAGAGTGCCCTGATTTTTAACTGATATCTAACGTGTGCCAGGTAAAGACACGTGTTGGATTTCCAAGAAGAGAAGGGTGAAGCAGGCTGGTGTTCCTGCTCTCAGCTCAACTGCAGGTTTATCAGAGCTGGCAGAACGTTGCAGCATTTCCTTGTTTCTCTTTGGGAGTAGACAATGTGAGAGTGAGGACTCGTCTTCCTGCCTCTGACCACATTTTCTCAAATCACAGCACTATTGTCCTGAAAAGGAAGATGGTAATTAAAGCGAAGGTGGAGGGCAGCGAGGTTCCTGCAGCTCGCCCTCTTTCATGTCTCTGTGTGGCTCTGTGTGCGTGTTTATAAATCTCTATAAGGATCCAGAGTGTGGCTTTAAAACCTGAATTCCCAAACCTTCCCAGTACTAAGAGTCGTGATGAAGTCTGAAGAACATTCTAACACTTTTCAAGGCTGTGATTATACTCTATCGTAGACATGATCATGGACCATTAGAGAAAAGTTTCCAGAACAATAAATCCTGTTATACTGATTAAAAAGTCGAAAAGAGCAGGCATACAAACATCCACATATGCTGAAAATGAAATGAAATGTCAATCAAATGCTACTGAACTTTTGGTCACAGTATATTCAAGGCCTGTGAGGTTCTCCTTGAGTTTATAACTTCTGGTAAAGATGCTGTCATCATCCTGGAGTTTGACCTAGTGTTTTGAATCTTTGAGAACAGTTCATGATTTACTTTGGGTTCATGATTTCATTTATATTGTTTCATCTTTTGTATTCACTCTGGTTTTAGTTTGTTATCTATCTGTGTCCCCGTCTTTTTGTATCTAGTTTCCTGTGTTTCCTGTGACACCACGTTCATTTCTCTGTTTCCCCATCATATCTGTTCATGAACGTTACATTAGAGTCTCTCTCTCCTCACCCATCTCTCTCTTTAACTTTAGCTCTGTGAGATAGTCCAGCGTTTTGGGTCCTATCACACAGATCTTCCTTAGAGGAAGTTCTCAATTTGTCATATGTGTGCTCTTCATTGCTTAAATCCAATCAGGCAGTTTGTGTTGCCTTTGTTTGAGTGTGAGTGGGAAACGATTCACTCCACTACCAGTGCCTCTGGACCTCCAACTGTGGACTTCTTCCCTTTTTCAAAAGGTTTCATGGGACTCATTAAACAGGAAATAGTTTCATGTTTGATCCTGAAGCCTCGTTTTTTTTCTATTCTCATGAGTATTTATTTAAGACCTGACTGCTGTCTCACTGTGGCTCTCTCACTTACATAAGAGAGCGTTTTGTTGAACAAACAGCAGCTTCTTTATCTTCATAGGAGCTGGAGCTGACCAATCGCACAGCTGGCTGCAGTGCCTGATGACATCACTGAGTCACATGTGTCATGTGTTTCCTGTAGGACATGTAACAAATATTAAAAACAAAACCTTTGACTTGGACAAGCTGATTTTTTTAACATTTTTTCTTAGAATTTATCTGTAGAATTTTGAAATTAATTTAATTAGAACAAATTTGGCTACTCAGTGCTGGCCTTTCTCATTAAACAAAAATATTACAAAAATTATTATTTTTTTAAATTACAATAATTATGTTTATTATTGTTTATTTTATATTTGTCATTGTCAGTTTTTTCATCTATAATTGTGTTTTTTATTTCTATATTTATTTCATTTTTTGCTGTAACCTTATGTCAGGGCAAGAAATTGTTATGGAAATTTTAACAATAACCCGCAACACAAGTTGCAGGTTATCAAGTGAGCTTGATTTGAAGTGGGTTTAATCAACACATTGCAATGTGGAGAGAATCCCAGTGAAACACCAGTACCATCTCTGAATTGTGGCCACCGCCCTTACAATTTATATAGAGACACAGACAAAGAACATTCCACAAAATCTTACATGTTGGCCCCTCTCAGGGGGGGGGGGCCTATGCCTTCTCGCTCACAGAGATTATGACAGAAATTATGACCTTGTTTTTTGCTTAGCCTTCACCTAAGGATTTACATCCCTGATAAGCTGGAGGAGTCTCACTATCTGTTTAATGTCTCCCATTACAATGGCCTCACTGTGTTAACTTTCCACATGAATGTAAACTAGTGACAGGAGTGCTCTTACTATGGTAAAGTGAGAAAGTGATATTACTATAACTAATGTCATATAATTAAATATGTGATTAATATATGAGAAAAGAAATCTGCCACCACATTCCCACCCTTTGTGATACCACAATTAAGAATTAAAAATAATTCATTAAGAATCACATAAAAACATGGGGATTTCTTTTCTAACTACTGAACATAACATCAGCACAATTACATACTCAAAGAAATTCCATAATGTGCATCTTACCTATAGTCAGAAGGAAAAAACAAATTCACACTTTATGGTCATCTTCGCTCCATCTGAGCCTCCACCCTTTCTTCAAAGGATGGCAGTTATATCATAAAAGAAAACACAATATCGTTAGCTTCATAGCATAAGTGCCTAAGTCATTTTTTTGTGTTTTCGGAAAACAAGAAAAAACTAATTTTCTAAATATCACATGCATATTTTTAAATATCACATGCATATTTTTAAATATCACATGCAATTTGACCAAAAAATGACTTAGGCACTTATGCTATGAAGCTAACGATATGAGACCATATACAGAAATGAAACAGCTTTCGTTATTCATCTGCAAAAAAAAAACAACCCTTCAACCTTAGTTACATCAAGCTGCTCTTTCATAAGAACCCGTTGTTTAGATAAGGAAGTCTTTCAGTATGTGATATATTTTCCACTTTATCATTAAATCCATCAACCCATGTTTCCTAATTTATTAACTGTTCCTGTAAAAGACCCTCATCCCCAGTGTTATTAGGGATTGAGGCACACATGCCTCACCGAACATCACACACACTCCTTTGTGCCATTTGCTTTGCCCTGTCCAGATGTTTGCCATAAAGGACAGTGACTATATTTGTACCTATAGGTAAGTGAATACCACAAACATAAACTAACTTCAATCTTAGTGCTTCCCAAAGTCTGGGGTAAAACCCATAAGTAGCCATGAATTTCCACACAGCCAACATATATTAAACACTTCTGAGCTAAATTTACAACAGAGAGATCGATCTTTCCTCTCTATCTATGCAGTGTACTGTACTCTTTACTATTGTAGGGCAATCGACCCATTTAAACAGTGTAAACCCTCTCAAAGGCATTTACAATTATCTTTACTGTCCCCACATCAGTGATTGGGGAAACCAAAACAACCACATTTAACTCCAGAAGAACAACCTCCTTCTTTAGGTGCTTCCAGCATGTTTGAGGCCTATCATGCCTCAATGAAATGTGATGAACCCAAAATCCTACTTTAGGGTGTCAAACAATGTGTCAAAGTTAAGTACACATGTCAAAGAACTCACAACTGTTGTTATTATGTTTACTCAGACAATGAGGACCTAATGCACTTACGCATCAGGAACTGACATGCTAGAAAATCAGTCTAGCTACCCTACAAAATATACACAAATAATTATTAGTTAGGTTGCTGTAAAACTTGCATGCTATAACTACTCCAGTCACTTCTACTCAGGCTCAGGACTCTAACAGAGTTTGTGATGTTCAGAGAGTCATGTAAATGCATATCATTTATAAGATGATTAGAAACATCACACCAATGACCACCTTAACTCAAAAACACACAGAACTAATTCAGGCACAACTGCCTGATTTTTTTTTAAAATAAGGTGTCATCTGCATTCATTCGCTGATCCCTCTTGGGTGACACAGAGTCTCACTCACTGAGTTGGAGCTTGGCACGCCGTTGTTGGAGGAGGGCGCTCTTTTCACCCCTCACCCTCCTGTTCCAATGCATCTTTATGGTTATTGCTGTGGTTCTGGAATCTTCTCATGATGACTAGTAGGGCCCCAAACCGCACGACCTTTGACGTCAACCACTGCCTGGGCTGTCAGCTACACCATGAGTGTTTCCTATGCTCTTGCTCTTGACAAAGGCGGTCGCACTTTTCTCCTCTCCTCCTCTCCTTTAGCCTCTTGTGTCCTTGTCTAGTCACATTTAGGCATCGTATTTTGAGGTTTTCCCTTTCTGTGGTCCGCTTGAAAACTCCCCTCAAATCAAAAACAGCTCACGGTTGCAGATTCTTTTTCCCACTTCTTTCCTCATAGTTTGCTAATTTCCTGCATGTGTGAGTCGCTGAAGGTCTCTCGCGGTTCCCCCTTTTTTGAAAACAAAAACTGTTCTATTTTCATTCATTTTATAAATCATATTTTTTAATTTTTTTTTTTTGTCTTTAAATATAAAACTCAGTTGTGTTGATTTATGACTGTATTTATATGATAACCTGCCTGAGGTTGTCCTACTTTGTCTGTATATCTGTAATAAGGTTTTAGTGAGTCTGTTTACTCTCTCACATTTTAAATGTCCACAAAAAACTTCTTTTACACACATTAAATAAAACTTTGAGTATTTATTTATTATTTGCAGTCATCTGCTGTGCACGTTCATACATTCAATCATTTTTACAAATCATTCATCTGATTGAACAAAACTGATTACAAACAAGTTGAGCAGTTTCATAACTCACACAGACCTTCATGTTTAAAGATAAAAGATATATATCTTTATATTCTATTATCAATAAATCTATTCTCTGCTTCAGTCTGCTTTAACCACAAAAACAACAATTTGTCTTCCCTTGTCTCCAAATAAAAACAATAAAAGAGATAAAATCCAGTCTTAAGACTAACAATAAAAACTACATAAAGTGTTTAAATGAAATGAATAAAGCAGGAAACCGCAGCAGCTTTCATCTCTTTGGCTCTAGGAAAACTAAAGCAAACATCTCAATGATTGAAACAAAGATAAGTCACCGCAGGGAATAAAACGCTCGACAGATCCTGAAGGTCTGGGTGTGTTGCTCAAATATTCTTCACTGGGTTTTTTTTCTGCTGCTCATAAACATCCGAAATCAGAACTATAAACTGGCATCTCTCATCATTTTAAGGTGATTACATGCAGTCCAATTAACAACAGGACAAAATGATCTGATTTATTTTCTCTCTGATTCTTTAGTTTAAACCACCAAAGCAGTTAAAAAGCAAGAACATCTTTGTCTTAGATGTTATTTTTAAATTAAAATAAAAACATAAACTTTGATTTAGTCTGAAGCTTTATTTTAGAGAAATTCCATCCCTCCTAACAGATTAAGAAGGAAATTTACATCTGTTTGTGATCAAGAACATTTTAAACTTATATCTTTCAAACCTCTGAAACCATCGAAATTCTATAGAGAAATCATCTGTTTTACTGCAGGTTTGGACTGAACCTCCTGATCTGGTCTCACTTTGTCAAATTAGAGGAGCAACCTCAGACCTCCCTGTTGTTCTATTCAGATCTAGTTGTGACAGTCGTTTGGGTAAAGTCTAGTTTTAAGAAAATTTTTAACCTCTTCTTTGGATACAACCTCAAAACCAGGAATGTAACATCCCTTCTGGAAATTCGCTGAAATACTCCAATCTGATCTCAAGAGCCACAAATTGAAGTGTGGTAGTCCAACGTTTAGTTTTAGATGCAGAAAAGGTTGAAGAAGACTTGTAGCAGCCTTTTTATGAGGTGGTCTCAGACATACTCAGATCTGGTTCTCATGGAGTCAGGTTCTAGCTTCGTCAGGACCGGAGGGACATCAACGGGTCTGTTACTGTTTAGCTTCTGCACATAAAAACAGGAAATTAGCAGCAGCATTCCTGCAGCTAGATAAAGGACGCCGGCCGTCCAACCACAGAACAGAGCATCCCCAAATTCCCATCGTGGGACCATGTCAGGCACTGACTCATCGAAGAACTGTTCGACCGTCACATGGGCGATGTAGGAAACTGGGATGAGGCCCAGGATCCCCGCCACCAGCCACAATGCCCCACTGGTTGCCTTCAGGGCCCTCTTACAGCTCACGTCCTCCAACTGTTGCCGGCAGCCGTTGACAAGGTGGAGGCTGGGTATGGCAAGCAAAAGCCCCAGCATTCCTACCCCTAGCGCCGTGCACATGAGGATCCGGGCTAGCTTGATCTCTGGTCGCAGCCCCAGCAGACTGTCATAGGGCCTACACTCCAGTGTTCCCTGCTGATTTAGCACGCAGGTCTCCCAGAGGCCCACCCCAAGAGTCTCTGTGACCAGCAAGTTGGACAGTGTGAGCCATGAGGACATCAGGGTGGTGGCCAGAGAGCAGAGCCAGGCCCCCGCTGAGATCAGAACCCCCACCAGCTCCAGAACACTGATGACAGGGTCCATGATGGTGATGTTATGTGGCTTTCAGAGAGTGCTGGTCTTTACCTTGCTGCTGTCAGGAGGTGGGCCAGCTCGCACATCACTGTTCCCAGAGAGAGACACTGCAGTCAGGCCCAGTCAGGAGGGTTATCACCCCCCTCTCAAGGCAGAGGCAGAATGTGATTGGCTGACTGGAAACAACAGCATCGCTGTGAGGTCGCCTGTAGACAGGATGTTATCGATGCCCACATCTCAGACTGAAAGGCGTTTGAAGTCAGCGATGTCACTTGTTCTGCCTCCCTGCTGCCTTCCTCCTTCTCCCCTCCTCTCTATTTTACACAGCGTCTGTTTGGTCTTCGTTCAGCTGATTGAGATATATCAAAAGGAAACATGCACACACTCCTCTCCACCATTACAGAAACCTGAGTGAGTGAGTGAGTGTGTAATGCAGCATGAATGCAGATGTTCATTGAGAATTTTAACATTTCTAGGCAGGTTACTTCCCCTAGATTCACAACAGCAGTTTGAGAGCTTAATGTTTGATTGGTTAATGATTTTTTTTTTTTTTAAATTTCTGACTTAACATTTAAACCTTTAAATAATCTGAGAAAACACTCAGTTTTACTATAACTTTTTATTCTTAAAGTGTGTCATTAACCAAACTCCATGAAGGTCAAATAGAAGATCTGCAACTGTCATTCAGAACCCTACAGTCAGAAGTTTTATTCAGATTTGCTGCACTGCTCAGTTTATTTATTTATTTATTTATTTAAGACCTCGCATGTAGTCATGCTGCAGTACAGCTATAGAAACATTTCTCCATATTTCCTCCTGAAATACTTTCAACCTATAGATAATCTGCAGGCTTTTGGAGTTTCTGTTCACCAACACAAAACAAGAACCTTTGAAGTATTTTGTGTTGAAAAACCAATTTATTCACATTCACTGTAGGAAACAAAACTTGCAAGAACTGTGTTTTTAATAATGGAGTTCTATGAGGTTTTCATGTGACTTAGAAAGTTAAAAATACTCAGCAGAGTCTGATTGATCATTCAGTCTCATATTTAGATTCTTTGTGGAGACATTTCAGTGTTTAAGAGTCTGTTGATCAGGTGAGCAGCAGGGTGCTCACAGTGAGAGCATCAATACCTAAAACTCTTTAATCATCACTCTCTGTGTTCTTTTCTGGTAATGTGTAACAGGACTATATTTTTGAATGGAGCTTGACTGGATAATGGTCAGCTCATATTTTCTGTAGGCTGTTTAATCAGTAACCTGACTTCATACCAGACTCCATTTGAAAATCACATAATTTGAAGATAACCTGCAGCACAGTTACATCTCAGTGCAGAACTTAAATTAGAAAAAGAAAGAATGTTTTCTGAGCTTCAGTGTTGCTGTTTGCTGGCCTGATGATGCCTCCAGTTGGACATTAGCAGAAACTGCACATCAAATTTTTGTTAGATTTTACAGGCTGTGTTCTGCTGTGAAAAATAGTAAATCACATAATAAATTGCACATCATCATCTTTATATGGCCTGTATTTGTATTTGTATAGTGCTTTTACTAGTCCCCCCTAGGGACCCCAAAGCACTTTACACACCCAGTCATCCACCCATTCACACACACATTCACACACTGGTGGAGGCAAGCTACAGTTGTAGCCACAGCTGCCCTGGGGCAGACTGACAGAAGCAAGGCTGCCATATTGCGCCATCGGCCCTTCTGGCCAACACCAGTAGGCGGTAGGTGAAGTGTCTTGCCCAAGGACACAAAGACCGAGACCGAACTATATATCATAGTTAAGCCAAATGTATCTAAATGCTGGCCTATTAAAGTTAAATAAAACAAAAAAACAGAACTAGCTGTATTATAACTAGTGTTGGTCAAGTTACTTGAAAAAATTAATCAGTAACTAATTACTGATTACTTCCCCAAAAAAGTAATCCCGTTACTTTACTGATTACTTTGTTTCAAAAGTAATTAATTACTTAGTTACTTAGTTACTTTTTAAAAACATGATTTACAACCTGAATAGGTGATAAAGCGATAGATCTGTCAGCCCAATTCTACTTTTTCTGCATAATCCATCATACAAAATGTAATCAAATGGAAAAGTCTCTTTTTTTTAAACTTGTTTTATTAGTTTTAATCTTTTAACTTTATGCATCAAGCAAAAATTAAATTATATGCACCATTCTCTGAGTGGAAGAAATTTGTTTAACATTTAAACCTAATTTCTGCACATTCCAGCACATAAAATAAAATATTTTTTGTGTTTAGACTCAGTCTTTCAAATAGATGCAAGTAAAATGCAGCAGAAAATAAATAAAGTCAAAGACTCAGCGGTCCTGTTGCTCTATTTTCACCTGTAAAGCAGGAGTGGGAAAAGCGGAGGTTTACCCTGGTGCAGGTGTGCCGCAGCGGTCAGTGGAAGAATCCGCGAGTTTCTCTGTGAATTTCCCATTACAGCACTCGGAGCTTGTTTAGGGGGTTTTTTTCGGTGTAAAAAGAAGTTTTCTTTCCACGCACAACGGACGCTAATGTTTTTGGCACTTTTTATGAAATCAAACTCAAAGTAAGGTCAGTACTTCCACGCTTTAAACGCTGCACGCTCATACTCTCTCCCGCACTCGATACATGATCCATTGTTGCTCTGCACACAGCTGTTGTCACGAACGTCGCACTCGCTTACGTCATGAGAAATTCTCGCAAAAAAATCACGGTTTTAGTAACGCAGTAACGCAGCGTTCCTACGGAAAAGTAACGGTAATCTAATTACCGTTTTTACAATAGTAATCCCTTACTTTACTCGTTACTTGAAAAAAGTAATCAGATTACAGTAACGCATGTAACGCATTACTGCCCATTTCTGATTATAACTAAGTAATATAAAACTAACTAACTAATAACATAAAATGAAATTATGACAAATAAAACTGACTGATACACTTTTGTTACCTCGCTCACTGTTCAGAAACATTTCTACTCTGTAGAAATCCAATGTTTTGCAACTCTTCCAAGTTCAGTCTCTTGTCCCATGTTAGTGTTTTCAGTTTCTTTCCCAGCAGTGTTCTCCAAGTGTTTCTACTTCCCTCGTGCTTTTAAGCCCTGTGTTTTTCTCTGCCCGTTGTGTCTTCCCTCATAGCTGTAAGGTTTTAGTCTGCTCCTTTTCCCCTTGTAACTCCTAGTTTTAGTTGATTCGGTGCTATCTTGTTTTTTTATTATAGGGCTGTTTTAATTTCTTTGTATTCTGTGGGGGGTTTTTGTTTGGTTTTGGGATTTTTTTTATTTTTTTTTTGTTGTTTTTTGCTGTTCTGTTTGATTGATTGATCACTGTACAGCACTTTAGTCCAGTGCTGAGTATTTTAAAGTGCTTCATAAATAAAGTTGGATTGGATAGTTTAAATTTTTCCAGTATAGGTTTCTGTTTTGTAGTGCTCTGTATTTTTTTCCAGCAAAATAAAGCTTTTGTTAAGACTTTTGAGTTTATCCTCATGTGTATCCAATACTGCATTTGATCCTCATCCTGCCTGCCACAGCATTATATGGTAGTTCAGATCACCTCTCTGTGTCATGCAGAGTTATTACAGTGAACTAAAACTGAGCTCAAAGGTAAACAATGTAAAACATATCTTCATTATGAGAATCTGCCCCAGATAAAAACCTTCCATAATACAGGGAGTGCAGAATTATTAGGCAAGTTGTATTTTTGAGGAATAATGTTATTATTGAACAAAAACCATGTTCTCAATGAACCCAAAAAACTCATTAATATCAAAGCTGAATGTTTTTGGAAGTAGTTTTTAGTTTGTTTTTAGTTTTAGCTATTTTAG